GGTGCGTCCCGGAGGTTACCGGAAGTGGCCGCGCTCGGCGCTGCCATGTTGAGGAGCCGCCGCTGCCGCTGCCGCCGCCGCCGCCGCCGCTTTGTTGTCGCCTCCTCCGGCTGAGGAGGCTCCCTGAGCGGGGGGGAGTGGGGAGGAGGGGGGTCGGCTGCCGCAGCCATGGAGGCCAACTGGACCGCGTTCCTGTTCCAGGTACTGGGGGCCCCCCCGGGGGGGACAGGGGGACAGGGGGGCCGGGCCCCGGGCTAGCGGGCGGGCGGGCGGGCGCTCCTCCTCCCTCCCTCTCGGCTCCGCTCTCCGGCCCGGCCTTAATCCCCCTTTGTTTTTCCGCTCGCCCGCCCCGGCGGTGCCCGGCTGCCGAGGTGAAAGGAGGCGGCCTCACGGGGCGCGGGGGAGAGAGCAGGCCTCGAGGTGAACCCCAGGCCCCCCCAGCAACACGCACGCACACACCCTTCCCTCCCACCCCGTGGGGAAGGGAGGAGGCCGCCGCTGTCACCACTCGGCGGCCCGGAGAAAGGAGGGCGCCGGGCCCTGGAGAGCGCGGGCCGCTTGGCCCCTGCTGCGGCGGGCGCGAGCCGCGCCGAGGGTGAGGGGTCCCCGCTCCCGCTCCCGACACACTTCATCCATCTTTCGCCCGCCTCCTTTCTTCTAGCCGCCCTCTCCTCTTTTTGTGTGTGTGAGAGTGTGTTGACTTTCTGACCCTCCTCCCACATCCCGCGAATAGCGGGTATCCCTGGGTTCCCCGCCACTCCCCCTTCCCGCCGCCCCCTCGTGTTTACCCAGTTGAGGGGGGTGTTGTGAGGGTGTCTCCCTTCCCCAAACTTTTTCACTGGATTTCCGTTTTCCTTGCTCCAGCCCGGGCCGAGCCTGGCAGCTGGCACCCTGTCCCTCTGTCCAGCTCCTGCGCCGTTCGGTGCAGCGCGGGGAATCCCCGGGCCGGGCCGGGCCAGGCGGGGCGGGGAGGGGAGCAGGGCCGGGACTCCAGGAGGCCCGACCTTCTCCCGGGCGCTGTCCCCCGCGGCCCACTCCTGCGTCTCCTTCAGCCAAGCAGCGGGCAGACGCAGAACAGGGAGTGCAAACAAAGTCCGCTTACAAAGCCCCCCCAGATGAGTCACTCGTTGGGGTGTTGGTCTTCAGTTTTGCAAGAAACTTTACAGTGACTGTAGCTCAAACGTTAGCCATCCTCTTGGCTCCCACTTTATGTGAAGGACCCTTGTTTGGAAGATCTGGGCTGCCCCCCCCCCTTCGTTTGTATTTGCAAACGAAGCGTTTAGTGAGCGGTAACGATGAGCTCACGGGGAAGTTTAGGAATCCGATGAGGTTAGGAAGCTCATAAGTGCGTCCTTCCCGCCTCTTTAAGTTATTTTCCTTTTTGGGATACTTCGTGAAATCCCAGACGCATAGCTTGGGCGCTTGGGATCTTTCGGAAGTACCCAGGAATGAATGCGGATTTTTAAAAATTACAACCCTTCCCTCAGCTTCTGGTACCATCCCAGTGGAGGTAGTATAGGGAGTTGGACAGGTCAAGATTACCTATTGTGTAAGATCTGGTTTGTTGTTTTAAGACGTATTTCAAACGTGGGCAGTGTGGTTTTAGAGTAATTGTTGAAATGTATTTGGAATTTTTTAAAAAAGTAAGTAGCAATATTTACTGAAGATCATGGTACAGTAGCAGAAATAGGCAGAAGGGAAAAGAAAAAAAGGGACGAAGAGGAATGCTCTTTAAATCAGTCTTTCAGTTTTTAAAGGGTTAGATACCTGCAACTCCAGGTGAAAGCTTCTTAAAATTGAAAGCACTCAAAATTATGGAACTCATGAGCGACCCTGTTTCCTCTTTCTGGTCCACTATTGTTTGTGCTTTGATGAACTTGATAAAAATGTGATAAATGAACTTAATGCACTGGAAAAGAAATGATGCATAACTAGCTGGTGTTCAGCTTGGTGTAAGGGTGACTAATTCCTTCTCTAGAAAAAGTTCTCAAATGAGCATTTTAAAGTGCAGGATAGCCTGTAGAAATGATTTTTGTGTTGATTAAAGTCATCAAACAGTGGAGATTTTTTAAAAAGTTATGTAAAGAAAAAAACCGTGTTGCTCATCTTTGGGAGCTAATTGAAACATCTTTTGAAGTTCTTTTTTAAAACTATCTTTCCCTGGATAAAGGAAATACAAGTGTTTATTGACCAACTTTTCAGTTAGATTTTATATTTAACTTTTTTAAGCAACCAAAAACTTTTTTAACCTGGTGGAGAAGTGTGAAAGCTAGTACATGGTCCTAGGTTTGGCAATGTGTGCAGTGAAATTATTGGAAAACTTGTAATTGAGAGCCTGAGGACAGTTGGGTGGTTAGAGAATATTGTGGACCTTTCTATGGAAAAAGCTAAGGCTAGACCTAATCAGTTCTGAGTTTAAGTAACTTTCTTTGGGGAAAGAGAGATTTGAACTCTCATGTTTGTCTCTTAGAGCATCCTGTTGATTTTAAAACAATATTTGAAGTTATCCTGTAGAATATTTTAAGATAGTTTAGTACCTGCCTGCTATCCAGATAACTAGTGGAAAGTGAAAGCTGCAGCTATTAAAATGTTTGATGAATGATCCTAACAGGACATTCAAGATATGACTCACCAATGCTAATTCGTTTCAGTGCAAAATCCTTTACCCTCTGGCACTGGAGATTTCAGGGTGCTGGATCCTACCACCTTGGGTGAGGAAATAACATTTCTGGTTTGGTTTGGTTTTGTTTTTTGCCAGCCCCAGAAAAGGGAGAGCTTAGGCAGGTCTAAGAAGCTTTGTACGTAAGAGAAATTGGAAATAAAATTAAAGCTTTGATAATGCTTGTCAAATAAAAGCCTACCTAGAAGTTATATTTTTAAAATAAGTCACTTAATTGAAGGTAAGCCATGGTTGTTATTCTACTTTGTTTCTCCCAGAGAACAAGTTGAGAAAAGCCAGTTCCTCTCTTAGAAGGCTTCATGTAGAAATGTGGGGATCCTAGGAATCCTCTGTGATTCACTAGTCATTCTACAGCATTTCACCCAAGAAGCAGGGACCTGGACTGACCCTTACATGAGAATGAACTTCAGCATTGCTGTAAAAAAAATACTTTATGTTGCCACAGACATCTGAATTGGTAAAATGGCAGTAAGTGCTTTTAGTACTCTGTTGCACTCTTGGTTGTACAGAATTGAAAAATGCCTCAAAACAGTGTAAGTTTGAACTTTGTCTAGAAGACTTGCTTGATTTTAGCTGTTGAAATTGTATATCTTGAGTTATTTTCCACTATTAACTGTTTGTATGCTGTATGGAAACTTAGGTATCCTCCTACAGCCCAGTTGGAAAAGGAGTAAGATTAGAACTAAATTCTGTAAATTCTCTAATGATGTCACATGGCTAGGTAGAACCCAAAAGTCATAAGTGCTCCACAAATTAATTAAAGATGGATTGTACTTCAGTATCAGCGTTAAGTCTAAAAACACTCGTAAGTTAACCACACAAATTCTGAGAGTGCTTCTAGGACCTAAAGGGTATCTAAATCAGAACTGTTGAATTGAAACTGATAGCTCTGGCCACCATACCTCCTAGTCATTGAGGGAAAGAGTAGGTCCAGGCTTAGCTTCTGTTCTGCCATTAAGTAAACACGGATCAGTGTGTGGTAGATGTTCTAATCTATCAAGGGAGGAGCTATGGATGAGTGTGTGTGTGCTTTCTTGTTTGTTTTTTCTTTGAGTTAATCAAGTGATTACAGTCAGAAGGGTAAGTAACTAAGTGTCTAAGATAATGGAATGGACCCTTCCTAGAATATTGTGTGCTTAAAATACTTAAAACTAGCAACTTGACTAATATATTCTTCTAGGATTATAGAACTAAACAACAGGGGCCTGGGCTCACTGTCAGGAGTTTAAAGAAAGAATAATGTTGGTATAGAACAATATATTAGGAAGAACTATTTCAGGAATTTTTCCCTCATTTCCTAAATGTATGTCAGCATGGAGGTGTGGAGAATTTTGAAAGAATCAAAACCAAGAGAGTAAACTATTCATAAATACCAAGAACCCTGTCCACAGTAATTTTGGTTTCAGTACAGTGAAGAAAAATTTCCAGACAGTAGTCTAGTCTTCAGTTTTGAATTGGAGAACCTAATTATAACAGCAAATGTCCAAT